TTGCTCTTATTTATACGTCTTAATATGATATTTGGTTAATTCTTTTTTTAATATTGTAATAATTTATTATTTTAGTTGTAATGTTCCTTTTAATACTCAGAGCTGCCTTAGGGCCTCTTTAGAAGAACGGCAGCATAGAAATATTTTAAATAAAGAAATAAACCGACATTGCCCCATTGCTCTTAACCAAACTAATTATATTTATGCACCATTGAGTCTATTTATTTTATAGGAACCCTCTGGAGGATATTATTTATTTATTTATTTTTATTTATTTATTTTATTTACATATCCTGCCTATCTAGCCGGTTCAGACCACTCTAGGCGGCTAACAACATAAAATAGAACAATAAATATATATAAAACAGTATTACATAAAATAGACGTAATAAAAGAGGCAGATAGAGGGGGGAGGGCAACAGGGATATTAAAGGGTTAAACATCTGGGGATTGGCTTTCCCTTCCCTTCTTCTGGGGGGCACTTCCTGGGACCCCCTCCTGGGCCGCTTGCCCATGGCCAGCCAGGCTGGCTCTTCTCCTGGGTGACTCATCGTGGGATCTAAACTCCCAACCTCTGGCCAGAGGCCGGATTCACTCCAGGCGGTTCTTAGGGAAGGTTGTATCAAAATCATAGAAAGGGGTAGAATGACCAAGGAAGAGCTATGGGGGCACCACGAAGCCATTGAGGTTTGATTTGTCAGAAGCTCTTGGGAGCTGCAGGTGGGATCAAGGGGGCTCCAGGCCATGGGAATAAAAGGCCCAGCAGGAGGAGAATGGGACGGCCTGCGTGTGTGTAATCTGTGTCTTATCTTTAAGACATGCGCACCTTTGTCAGAAGTTCTTGGTATGGACGATCAAAGCAACGGAGCTGATTTTTCTGTTGCTGTGTGCTGGATTCCAGAGGCTCCCTGGCTGTTCATATGCTCCTGCATTTCACGCTGCAAGTTGTGGACCGCATCCCGGAAACTGGAGACCTGCTTCTCTAGCACACATACCCGCTGTGTAAGCTGCTGGGGCTCATTCTGTAGATGGGACGTCTCTACCTCCTCCTGATTTTTTGTCTGAAAGAGAATAGGAATGCACACACACACACACCCAAATCAGTCAAGTGGGGAGCAGGATCTTACTCTATGGCACTAGAATTGTCTTGCAGAATGACTGAGCCTATCTAATTTATTCATTTAACATATTTTACGAATAGTCAAAGCTATGGTTTTTCCTGTCGTGATGTATGGAAGTGAGAGCTGGACCATAAAGAAAGCAGACCGCCGAAGAATTGATGCCTTTGAATTGTGGTGCTGGAGGAGGCTCTTGAGAATCCCCTGGACTGCAAGGAGAACAAACCTATCAGTTCTAAAGGAAATCAACCCTGAATGCTCACTTGAAGGACAGATCCTGAAGCTGAGGCTCCAGTACTTTGGCCATCTCATGAGAAGAAAAGAGTCCTTGGAAAAAACTTTGATGTTAGGAAGGTGTGATGGCAAGAGGAGAAGGGGACGACCGAGGATGAGATGGCTGGACAGTGTCTGCGAAGCAACCAACATGAACCTGACACAACTCCGGGAGGCAGTAGAAGACAGGAGGGCCTGACGTGCTCTGGTCCATG